GGAGGGAGGGAGAGGGGGAGAGAGAGCGAAAGATTTCTTTCACTCAGACATTCTAGATCCAGCTTTGGGCATGGAGGCATGTCCCTCGCCTGGAATGTCGTCATAACAGCATTACAGACAGCATCAACTTCCTTATGCCAGACCCTCAGAACCCTCAATCCCAGGGCTAGAATCCAGAAGCCCTTCCTCTCCTGAGACCCCAAATGGGTGTCTTAGTAAGTAGAATAATTAGAGTTGTTTTTGGGTTACACTCTAGATCCGACTAAGGAACCTTTGAATTTAAGGAGTTCAGTGTTAGCGTTGGGTGTTGGATGCCTATTCAGGCCCCTATGCGAACCTAATCGCACAGATTCCTCGCTCCTCGGAACTCAGAATAACTATCACATTCAAGGTTTGCACGGCTCCGAACACTATTATACAGTTGTTGCGTTGCATGTTGTGTGCTATTGCATTCTGTTGCATTGTATTTGGCTTTCTTACGCTGTACTCTACTGTATTATACTACTGATATTACTGTACATCCACATCTTGGCCTCGGCTGTTGCAGGCTTCCACCGTTACCGTATCCTGAGGTGAACTCACAGCCTGACTCGACTGCCATCTTGAATCCCAAGCCAGACGCCGTAACAATTGTAAGCACAAGTCTCTACACCCGCTTACTCCAATGCACATGTAACCAGCGCAACCAACAGCCGTTTGTTAAACTAACGAAGGCACACCATTCCTGAAGTACAACCCTTCGAGACCAAGGCCCCATGAATCACAGACTACCCCAAAGCGAACCGACTATCCCAGACCCACGGGGCACTTGGCACCTTACGACGAGCAAGCAAAAACATGGTTGCCACGCTCTTACCACTGATCTTAACATTGAACCCAAAACCCCCCTGAACCCCAAACTCTTGAACCTGGTCCGCATCGTAACCACAAAGCCCAGAACCTGCCTACTACTCTGTAACCGTGAAGCCACGAAATCTTAGTCGGCTAAGAGCCCACAAGTACAGTTCAGGATCGGATGTTGATCAGCGCAGCGTTGCCTAGGCTGAAGGGGGTCGAGCGTGAAGGGCTGTAGCGCTTACATGATTTAGGTTTGCAAGGTCGAAGACTGCCCTAAAACCCAGTTCGCATGAACATCTCAGAATCTCTGCGGCAGTGTACTCCACATGCGGACTTCAACCGGGGCCGGTGCGATTCGAAAAGCACAGTATCCCATCAGTTGTCACGACCTCTATTTCGTCGCGGACTCATCTCATCATGGTTGTCTGATCCTTCCCTCCATTGCCAGAGATATTAAGCCCTACAGCCTCATTCCCGAGCTACCGCCAAGGCACTGAGGTTTAAGCTCAGCAGCACGCCCAGGCTAATCACCTGACTGCGAGATCGAATGACCGTGTAATAATGTCGACTCCAGATTAGTAAACCACTCCCCTTCAACGGGATTCTAAGAAGGATCTGAATATTGGGGCCGTGAAAGAAGCAGTGTTTATTTGTCAGAAGCGTGCAGTAGCTGCGAACCCTGCGGGTGACGTATGATCCCGAGGCCCCACATACCCAAAAAAAATAATAGGGTTCAATTCTAGTCAAACTCAGCTTCGATAGTTCTATATCCATCACGTGTGACCCACGTGACCCATCTAGATCCCTAGAGCTTTGCATTGAACCCTAAAACCTCAACCCTTCGCCAGAAACTGCCAGGTCACATCCCAAAGGACGCTGAAGGGGCAAAAGGTGGCAAGTCCGGTCAGCGCGATGAGCCCAGTCAGAGCCAAACCCCAGGTGAAGTTGCCGGTGCCTTGATGGGTTTCGGGGTTTTACATTCTAGAGGTTCGGGTTTCGAGTTTCGACTCGCCCACTCGCTCAAAGCAGGCACGGATTCAGGGGCTTAGTCCTCAAGTTTGAAATTGGGGTCTCCAAGCTCTAGACCTATGAAGGCAGGATCTCCAACCCTCGGCTAAGCCGTTGTGAGTCGAAAGATCTGAAGTTGGAGAGGCGTGCTGTCTATCGTTGGCACTCAGGGTTGAAAGTATAATTCAGGCGTATAGGTATCAGTCTGGCAACTCAACACCCAGACTATTACTGGACTACAGTGACACGGCTCTTGCCTGCCATCCAACACGAATACAAATAGCTAGCGCGCAATGCTACTAACATCCTAAGCCCTAAGCCCTAAACACCAAAAACCCTAAACCCTCCTGGAGTCAATGGCTCTTAGACCCATGTAGCCTGCACACGTAACGACGTAGTGCCGAAGAAACCGAGAAAAGGACAATCTGGCCAAGGAGTATAAGGGATGCATGGCATCACCCCCATGAGCTTTGTTGACTCCGAGAGCAACCATGAGCGAAGGACTTTTGGCCTTCAAGCAAGGGGATTGCTGAAGGAATCTGGCTTACGGAGTTGCAAGGAGTTTCGGGCCAAACAGGTCCTCGAAACTTGAAGCTCAGCTTACTTTCATGTGAAGATAGCTGGGTACTTCATACATTCGACATCGGACCGCGAGTTCTCGAAAACTGACAACATATAACTCAAATCAACACCAAAAACCAACCTAGAGCATAAAACCGTGCGCCGGAAGTAGATGGGACGAAGGGAATGGCAGGCTATTGTCAAGGCTCTGTCTCAAAACCATACACCCTAGCTCATCACACCTCATCTTGAAGCCACGGCTGGTGCCAAGGCGCGCTGGGATTGTCGGGCAAAGATCGAAGGCAAGAGCCTCGCGACAGAGCATTCGAAGCCGAGACTCGGATCCGAGAGTCAGAAACCTCAAGTTCCTCTGAAACTGGGGGGGGGGGGGGGGGGGGNNGTTTAGAGTTTAAGGTTTAGGGGTGAGCACCAGAGCCCCAAAAAGTAGGATCCTCAAGTTGCAAATATACTTTATCATAACTTTTCCAGCTTAGCCCCGGGAGATCTCTGAGCTTAGTTCGGTTTAATCTAGGAGGCTGGAGGCCGTTTTTACTAACTGGAATAAGGTTCTGAAATGTTGCGGATATCCTATCAAATTGTGTTGTTTTGAAAGGGGGTATAAGCGAAACTGTATGGCTTCGAATTGTTCCGACCCCTAAATCAGGGTTGAAGGCAAGGTTTGCCATTGAGAACGTAGTCGAACGCAACGTAGAGAGCCCCGTTCGAGAAGCCCATGTCTGCCTAGAAGCCGAGTTGGAATACTTCAGCAACAAGAGCACTTGAGCCCAGAGACTCCAAAACCCCTT